TGCTTTGGTTCTGTTTTGGGTGGATATGCCAAGGTTTCTCCTGTTCGTTTTCTCACTTTAAGTGTGTCATTTGGTCATATTGGTGTCTTCATTCTAATGTTTATTAAATGTTACTGTCACTGCCAGTCTGAGACTGTGAATCAGAACTAAGAATGTGTAATAGTTTATTTCACATTTGAGTAAATTTCTTTTACTACTTAAACACTATTATGGATAGTGTTGATCTGAGATGAAGTTTAGGTTTGGCGATACAGAATGCCACTAATTTGAGTCTTCTTTTATTGCCATCTGCTGTGAGTGTTGCATCCACAACATGGGTTTTTTTTTCTTTCTGAATCTCTTTTTGTGATGATAGAGAATAAGCTGACGCATCTGGAAAGCATCTTTCTTGGGCCATTCACTGTATCAAGCCATAGTGTATACTTGGATGCTCTGTTGCCTGAATTGTTTTGATAAGTTGTGAAAAATCCACATTTTGCTGTTGCAGTGATAGAGTACAGAGAGAACAGTATGAGCACCTACAGCAATCTCCTGAAAGGCAGGTGGTCTGGCGGTTAAAAGCTTTGTTAAACATAAAATGTGCAATATCTATTTGTTGTGGATCTGACGGTAATTAAGAGTAATTTTTGAGGCAGTCATTGATGTAAGCCACTATCCTTTTACTCCTCACTCAATACCTGTGTGCAGTGGGTCTAGCTTGCTGTCAAGTTGTACACTGCAATAATGGGCTCTTGTTTTTTCTCCCAGCCAAGCTGCATGGCTGGAGTGAAAGCCCTGCAACCATACGGATACTGTGCGTAGAGCACAGCCCAGCTCCAGAACCATTCCCAGCTCCGTTCTTCGTGGAGCATCTCTAAGTGAGTTCAATAATGAAGGTAGCTGCTGAGGCTGGCGGCTTATCCTCGCTGAGGTTTGCACCGCCTCCCAAGTTCTAGCAGTGTTAGGAGCCACAGGGATACTTCATTAATTCCAAAGTAGCATGACTTAAGCAACTGTCTTTATGCGGTTGGTGTTGCAGTTACTTAAAATACTGACATGTTTTGCCCTCTAAGCTACAGAATTCTTAAAACGGAAATCCCGTAGCTGCCAAGATGCTTCACACGACGATAAAGGTTTAGATATCATGCGGGTTAACAGAGAAAAACCAGTGGTGATAGGCCAGAAGTCCACCATCCTTGCCTACACACAATCTACATCATCTAGAAAGGGATGCAAGAATGGCAACTGGTGCTCTGACTCTGCAGTGCATTTTAGTATGCCGGAAAAAATTCCTGTCGCTGAATGTACTTCTGTAGTGACCAAGCTGTTGCCCTCAGCTAGCTGTTACATAAATAATGTCGAGTATTGTTTGGCCTTTGTTTGTTATGCAAACTAAGTAATTTATGACTGGCAACTGTCAAATGGCAGTTTTGTTGGCCATTTCCACAAAAGAAATTATGGAAAAGGTGTGCTAGGTAATCAGGGTAACAGAAAATACCAAACTTAAACTAAATGCAAACACTTTACGTTATGGTCAAGACAGTCTGATTCAAGTACTTTTATTTTTTTGTTTAATTTTCACACATTTATAAGCCACCAGTTGTTTGCAAGAAACCTCAAAACTACCTGTGATTCATCATCAGTTGGGCTCATACGGATATGTGGGTAAGACAAGGGGAAATCTACCCCAAAACTCGCTATCTCCCAGTAGACCCACACATCCGATCTCTTTTGCCTCTGCTTTTGCGCAGGTCACTTGAGAGTACGTATGGCTATCTGAGTACTTATTTTGCAAGGAAGAATACCTTAAAGAATTGACATTATAATTAGGTATTACTGAAGTTATTGGAAGGACGGGCTAATCACATGAAAATAGAGTGCCTACTAAGCCATGTTTTCCAGAAAGTATTCTTCAACAAAGGATTTTTTTTTAAAGTTGACAGTGATAAATTCTCCTATTTGGTTTATTAGCAAACTGAAATTGCTGAAGAAATGTAATGCAAGAGGGCTGCCTTTTGTCAGGCGGCTTCTACTCCAGTTTATAAGCCAAAGGGATTATGCATAGTGCTTACTAAGCTAGTACATAAAGCACCCCCTTTGGGCATCTCAAAGTTTCTTTAAAAACTAAGTAATAGTGAAGAGATTGACTTTGGTGGATTTGTCCCCAGCTGCTCAGCCGCATGGTGTGCCTGCAACTCCGACGTCTGCAGTGGCACTTCGTTGCCCTGACCGCTTGCTCTTAGTTCATCCAGACTTTCCTCTCGGTCCTGCGATTCCAATAAAGCTGTTGTTTTCCCGAGGAAGAAGTTTTTTGCTCCTGTCTGGGTAAATCAGATTAAAGAAGAAACAGCAGTAGGTGGATGGCCCGTGGCTGGTTGGGCGGTTGTTTGGTGTGGCGGCCAGGGCGGTGGCACCGGGAGCCTTCTGCGCGCTCTCGGGAAGCGCAGCCTGAGCTCGGCAGCGCAGGGCTGGATATCAACGTTTCTATTTCTGCCGTTCTTGGTTACTAACTCTGTGACCCCTCTGTCTCTCAGTTTACACATATGGAAACATTTTTCCACCTTTCAAAGGTGTGGTGGGGATTAATTTCACTTTACAAAGTGCTTTTTGATTCCCAACTGAAAGCTACTGTAGGAGCTCGAAATACACTGATGAACCAGTACTGGCTGAAGATCTTTGATGTGTTTTAGTGTATTTGTCCAACAGTTTATTTGACAGTGATTTCTTTTTACTTACCCTAACTTTTAGGACTAAGCCAATCCTGTGTATTCCTTCTCTCTCTAGGTCTTTCTCCTTCCCTCTCTTGCGCACGCCCACCCCTCAGTGAAGGTTTGGAATAAAGTATCTGCTGAATAAATAAAAAAAATACTCAGTTTTCAGATGTTTCAGTGTGCCCAGCGTGTTATACTTCCAGTATCAGGATACTGATAGTCTTCATTAGATGTGCATTACAGTAAACCAACATGCTAGCCGTAGACAGGACAAAGAAGGAGCTGCCTTCTAGAATAATTCTTTTATGCCACTTGGAAACACTGCACCCTTTTTCCTGGGGAAAAACAAATGAAGGATGGAGGAGTGGCCATAGATGTTTCTGATGAATTGTATGGCCAGGTGGCAAATGCATTACTTGTAGCAGTTTTCTGTCTCCAATGTTTGAAATCAGAAACGTAAGTTAAAAGTGTCTTCTTCAGCAGTGTTAGCATTTTAGCACTGGCTTCCATTCTTTCTCCCCGCTTTTAACGGAGCAGGTTTAAAGTCCTATGGTTTCTGTTTCAGGGTGTTTCTCGTGTTTCCAGCTTGTACCGTGGGTTTTTTGGAAACTGTCTGAGAGTCTTCTGCTGTAGCTCGTTGTTATATGATGAGAATATTTTCACATAAATCTCTAGCATCTTAATAAAAAGTTAATCAAGTTACATTTCCTTTATATGAAAATGTTGGTTCTTAGCGTTTTCCTGCTTGTACGTGGCTGTCTACAAATGCCTGTAAGGGCTTGGACTTGGCTGACATAGCAAATGGGATGCTGCTTGGGAGCACAAGGTTGAAATTAAGTGAATGTAAATTAAACTATCAAGCAGACAGCCCTAACAGTGACACCTCTAAGGCTGTGGTACAGTCTTCCAAAGAAAGCAGTAGATGATTCACCATTTCAGACATTTCAATCCAATCTAGAAAGCTGTAGTAAATATATTGTGGGGAACATTCCTGCACTGGCAGGGGGGTAGACTAAATGAGCTATTACCAGTAGCTCTTTTCCATGTCTGACTGATAGTTGGCTAGGAACACGTTTAGCATAATCGCCAATTTTTCTACTTTTTTTTTTCACTTGGAGAGCACTGGTGACATTGGCAGAAGAACGCTTCCTGTGTTCGAGAAAGGTTTGTGTGGCAGGGTTGTCCCAAAAGCAGGCTATTTTCAGAGGAGGCACAGGCACTGATAGCCTTAATCCTTTCCTAAAGCTTTTTTCAGAAAGGTTTTCATAGGATCTGACTCATGTGAGAGGGTGTGGTGGTATCTGAGATATCTGTGGATTAGCTGCTACACATATTTTCTGGTCTTTTAAATTCAAATGATACTGGGTACACTAATAGGGCCGCTTTTTGTTTTAGTGTATGATTCATAGCTTTTGATTTTTCCTGGAATTTTTTTTCTTCCCTTCCCTTGTAACCACTGTCCTTCTGGGTAGAAGGAGAATTTTTACAGAATGATTATGAGAGCAAGGTAGTCAGTTCCTCTGTCTGTGTCTGCTGAACTCTCCCATAAAAAACATCCAATAACAGTACAAATGAGAGAGATGGTGAGTTGTGTTTAAATCGGTTTTTCTGATATGTTTATGCAAGACTTCTTCCTTTAAAAATACTCATCAGTGGCAGCAACAGCGATAGTAGTTATTGACAATTTAAATACTATATAATTTCAACCTAATCAGGGCAGCTGTAGGTGATATAACAGGTAGCGAGCATCCTGACAGCCGTTGTGTGCTGTGCTGGTAAGAGCGAGAAGGTTGGGCGTGGGGAGCCAGAGAGGTATCCAGCACCCAGGAGACTTCTCTGCTTCCCCTTGATTGTATAGGGATGTTAATACACACCTTGCAGTTTCTGTAACTGTCAAAGCATTGATGTGTCTTTGTCATAAGTTTCTGACAAAAATGTAATTGTCTTTCAAGACTGGAAGTGTTGATTTTGATCCTCGTGAAACGTAAGCAATGTTTAAAATTTGAAACTCTTTCAGAACAGGCAGTATTTTTTCCCCTATTAGTCTGATAAAAAGGCAAGGAAAATAGATGAAAGGGCGAGAAAACATTGAAGGAGGGCACCAGATCAAAGCCCGTGTACAGAATTATCCTCCATGGCTCATTTTCCTGTAGAGGGACAGGTCTTAATGTGCGGTATATTGCAATATGCTGCTGCTCTTTGGTTTTACTAAAACTTTGCTTACAATGAAGCTGCAAAATAAAAACTTGGCTAGCTCTAAATTTCCTCTCTTCTCTGTACCTTTTTTTTTTTTCACCATATGATGCCCAGGGACTCCAGAAAGCCTCGCTGAGAAAGAAAGGCAGCTCATGGGTATGATCAATCAGCTGACCAGTTTGCGAGAACAGCTGCTAGCAGCTCACGATGAACAGAAGAAACTGGCTGCATCACAGATCGAGAAACAACGCCAACAAATGGAGCTGGCTAAGCAGCAACAAGAACAGGTGAGTGATTATTGTAGTGGCTTTCAGCTTAAATGATTTTCCAGGAGGACTTTCCAGGAGTTTGTCTTTCAGGGTTGATACTTCTCAAGTTTGCTCTCCACCCAGAATTTTTTTCCATTTGTGTTCTTAGGTGAAGAAGTTCGAACCAAAACATATTGGAAGAATGCTTTAATTTGCAATATATAAAATAATGCTTTTTGTCTTTTAAAGATACACCTTCCGGCTTGGATGTATTATCTTCCAATAGTGTTTTTTCTAAAAATAAGTGTAAGTAAGCATACAAATTCAGCCCTCCTGAATAATCTTCCAATGCTGCTTGAATTGAGCGATGCTGAGTAGGTATAAAAGGAACCAAATGTGGCATTTGGATTGTAATGTGACCAATGAAAGGGTTGGTTTTGCCAACTGTGTAAAAAAGTGGGGGAGAAGAATATAAAGTCAGTCAACAAGTGTGACTTTTTTTCTTCTACTCTTGAGGGGCTTGATTTTCAGCTCTTGCAAACATGCCCTCCACTGAAAACGTAAACATGTTTTCACACATGAATGGTTCCAACACATGGACACATGATATTTTATGCAAGAACACAACTTTTCTGTCATATATGCACCGTGCAAGTTTCAACAGAAATTAATGTCCAGTTTTGTGGACTTCCAGTTTTGAAGTACCTGTACTTCAATGTTTGTATTGTACCAAGAAAGTCTTAAGACAGACATTTAATCCTTGGTTTTCCCTGTTTTTGATTATTTAAAAACCTTATCTTAAATACTGTGTATTTTGGTCTCACATATGAAATCCCACACAGGGAGAACAGACGTGACTTACCTATTAAACTAGAGAATTTGTATCACAATGCTGTTTATATGGAGAAGGTCGATGAAGGTGTGAAGAGGGAATTGGCAAGATTTTTCCAGGTGGAGGCATTCGTGAAAATGAAAAAAAAATAATGAAGAGAATGGAAAAAGGCAGTAAGAAATCCTGTAGGATTGTTAATAGGATAACAACGATTTCTTTCAATTTAAGAAATTATATAATATAATTGTGTTATATAGAAATTAAAGTAACCAAACTTTTAAAAAAATGTATTGATAAAAGTTATTTTGGTTGCTTAAAGAGAGGCTCTAGAAAGGAAACATTTACTCTTTTAGATGTGGAGTTAACTATGAGTGAGTGTTTCTTATGCTAATAGTTTAATAATAGAAATGAAAGAAATACCTAAGGGGAAGAATGCACAAAATTCCTCCCAGTAAGTATGTATAAGTTCCCATCTGACCCTGAGATGTGTACACATACCACAGGGGAAGAGCAATACTCCTTCTAATGTTTGTACTGCTGTGCTAGCTATTCATGAGAGCAGAGCTTTTGTGATGACTCAAATGAAAGTTTTTCAAGTTTGCTTTTTAAGTTTGAGATATATAATGATTTATCTCCATCAGTCCTCTGAGGACTCTAATTTGGTTCCGTTACTGTCTTGCTTTTTCTTTCACTGTGTGTAAAATGTGTCTACAGTAAGGTCCCCAATCATTTAGTCAATGGCGAGGGAGGGTGGAAGTCCTTACAGAAAACACAGATGACTGAGAGGAGGCTACAACTACTCCAACTTCTATACTCAACTTCTGTAAATTAGTTTCAATGTTGAGCTGTGTAGCCTTGCACTGCTCCCTTAGTTCCTTTCAGCTATATACGGGTTGAAGAGTCAGTGATTTTCCCAAACCCAGTTCCATTCTCTTTGTGTCTGTTTCTGCATCGAGGAAATATGCACACTAATACCTTCCTTCTGGGCGTCAGATTTCCTTTTTTTGGAATTTTTGAATAGGTGGTGCCAAACTTAAAAAGAATATTACTGTCCATCCTACTTTTTTGCCTTTCCTGCCTTCCCCTACTATTTTCCGGCTTCTTTGCCAGTATTGTTCTTCCTCCAGCAAGTTGGAGCAAATGAGTGCTCACTTTTTGGGGATTTAGCAGTGCTGTTTCAGATAATGAGGAGAGATTCTTGCATCAGTCCTTCCCTTAATGTCCAACACAGCATTTTCCATAAGATTTCTTTTCACACTAGTATTAGCTATGAATTGCTCCTGAGCATGAGCCCCTTGCTTCAGCCTGGACTGCTGCTACCCACACTTGAAGGTTTCTTAGCTTTAATAGAGCCATTTAAAAAACAAAGCGAGGCGGAAGTTTCCTATGTACCGACTCCAGGAGTGATGATACATCTCACGTTTTTTCTGTGCAATTTCTCCACAGATTGCAAGACAACAGCAGCAGCTCCTGCAGCAGCAACACAAAATTAACCTTCTTCAGCAACAGATCCAGGTCAGAGACTGCGTCTCCACCCGTGCCCCTGTTATCTCTCTTCTCTCCTTTCTGGTTCCCCATGTTTTCCCTCAACCATTATTGTCATACCTTCTTTAAGAATCTCTGGAGATGGCTTACATCTTTTTTATGGAAACACATGAGGATGTTACCTGTAATTAAGTAAAAAAGGTCAGTTTCTGGAAGACCTTGTATGATTAACACTGCTCCTATAGGATCGGGAAGCAGACATGAGAGGAGCTGGTCAGGTGAGCAGGGGTTTGCAGGACCAAGTCTTCTTTCAGCCATAGATGAGAAGTGGCAAAAAATGTTGCCAGAAAGAGTTGAATTGCAATGAATCACCTACAGCTCTGTTCTCGAGGTTTTGCAGAAGCAGTTCTCTTCAGTGATCGGTAATTAAGTGTCCCTCCTTCCCTCTGCCCCAGGTGTTGAAAGTCCAGAAATTTTCAAGACTTTGGGTGAAGTATTATCTGAATGAGAAACTGGTCAAAAGGTTGGTTAGATTCTAGAGAGCAACTGTGTAGGGTCTAGGTATCTACAGGTTTACTCCTAGTAGTAGAAAAAAGTTGTTAACCCAATATAACCAGTAAACTTTATTTAACCTCTTTTTTTCCTTGAAGTATTCAGAAGTTTCTTTTCATGCCATTGACTGTATTTCATTACTTTTCTTCCATGTGTATATATGTGTGCCCCTGTTTTGGGAATAATGCAAATCAGTTTGCCCATGAAGGTTTTCACAGAATAACAAAGGAGGGGTTTGACATTTTACAGATATCTAGAATCATGGTAAAATCTGTCTAAGCATGCAGTTATGTATAGAGCATTGCAAGTCGCTGTGGAAATGGATGCTGTGTTTTGTTTGTTCAGTAACAACAGGATTTTCGTTCCAAAGCTTCTCATTAATATTTCAGAATTAGTTCCCTAAAATTATAGGCCATATCCCTAGCTGGTCTAGGAGAACTTAATTCCAGCAAAATCAGGAGTTGTATGGCTTCACACAAGAAGAAAAACTGTCTGTATCATTTCAGAGAATGTTCTATCAGTATCAAGACTTCTGTACCTATGAAAAACTTCTGGGGAAGGTGCACCTTTCTGTTCCAAGGCAACTTATATACAAGATGTGCTTTGCAGAAAGTAGTTTTGAGATTTGTAAGACCTGGCTTGGCCTTGACCTCTGTATTTTTTTCCTTCTTTACATTTGTGTGTGGGAGGGATTTTTCTTTATCGCTATATCTTTAATAAGCCTTAAAAAGAAAAACAATAGTAGAACCTCTACAATAGCAAGGAAAGTATTTACATTTTTAGCATTTAGCTATGGCAGAGAGAGAGGAAGTTGTTCTATAAGCAGTGAATAAAAATAAATTGAAGTAACATAATTTGACCCCAACCCTTTTAAGTTTTAAGGCCTTGTAGATAAGAATGAAGTATGTCGTTTTTAGGGTAGTGGAGAACACTGATTATTGATAATGAGATATAGAGCCTTTCATCTCTTGATCCCTGGTCCAAGTTTGACCTAAGTCAGTAGTAAATGAAAGTCAGCTAGCTACCATCTGATACAAGCTGCAAGCCTAAGAAATGATTTGGAGGCCTGTCTCAAGGGATTTGGGATGAAATATTGACCCTGCCAAGGTCAGAATTTCACCTCCAGGGTCCACTTCACACAAAACCCATCAGATTTGGGGCACCCTCCTTTTGGATGGTCACATGATTAAGGTCAAGAATTGAACAGGCAGAGAGACAATACTGTCCTCTCATTCCCACAGAGATGATCTATTTGTAGCGAAATTTTGATTATACTGCCTGCCTCTTGGCAGTTCCACGGTCTGTATGGTCATGTAGTCTCATGAACCCTGGCGGCAGCCCAATTATTGTGAAGTCACTGATAGGGAAAAACATGTAAAAATAAAAAAAACCCACCTTATTGATAGTGAATACAAAACAAAACATTTCTTTTCAGTTACACGCTTAGTTGACTGTTGTCAGAGAGAAGAAACAATTCCTGAAGAAATCTGCCTTTGTATATAAAGGGAGACAATGAAGTCACCCTAACATGCCCACGTTTAAAATGGTCTGTGAGTTTACAGTCAGGTTATGGTAGGTGGAACAGAACTGTGACATGAATGTAGCTGTGAGTTCAGCTTTTCTGACCTTGCCCTAATTAATCTAACAGGCTTCTGTCACATTGGCCTGGAGTTTTTAAATAGCATTAGATTTATTGACAGGGAAATATTCCTACAAAGTCTGGATAACTATTTGACTTATGTGCAATTGAATGATTAGGCTGCAGTTATGAACACAACCTATTTATGACAAAGGATTCGTTTTACTTGAGCCAATTTTTTCTAAGCTTGTAAGAGTTGCCATAATTCCAGATAAATTATTACGCAGAAAAAAGCTATTGAAATATTGTATTGAAAACATAATACCCTAAGGTTAAAAAAAAGCACAACCTGACTGACCCCATGATTTATGACTCTTTTCTCTGAGTGCGCTAACTTGGAAACAGTTCCCTTTCTCCGTACTCCAGCATACAATCACCGATACACACACAATACATAAGCAGGGAGAGACTGCAACATGTCTCTCCTCCTTAGAGGACTGCAAATACTGAGGGTAACTACAGCTCAATTACACTAGCCACTTCTGTGATGTTGAAGAAAGATGCGTTAACTACTTGAGCTTAGAAAAATGTACCTGGCACGTGAGTCTCTAATTGACATTATGTTTTCTTCAACTCCATCTCTTCTGGATTAACTGGAAGGAGGTTTCACTAACACAGAAGACAGCCAGATTATCTTGATATAGGGAGTTAAGTAAAGAGATAATGCTAAACTGGGGAAAAGTTGCAGATTAGATTAAATTTAAGAATCCGTATGACCTCAAAATTCTAATATATGGTTTGTACAAGATTTTGTGTTTTGGCAAATGGTCATAATAATATTTTTCTGGTTTTCAGGATGTTCTAGACCTAATTTGTGAAGAGGGTTGAGTTTCTCTGACTAATTAACTAAACGTCCCCCATCTTATTTTACGCCACTTTAGAATGCATCCTCCCATGCACACTGCTTTCTGTTCTATTTAATCTTTGTGTGTATGTGTATGGAAAAGGTTTTACTTTTAACAGCTTCTGCCTGCTGAGTATTCAGGGTCTTCTCCCCAGCACACTTCAGTCTTGCTATTTTACCAGAAATTAAACTGGAGTGCGTGCTCTATCCTGTTAACTCTTGTGCATCAACAGCCCCGAAGATCTCAGGTTGTGTTTCAGAACAGCTCCGTAGTGATCTGCAGCTGTAGAACAGGCTGAGGAAAGAGCATGCAGACACCAAGTATGGCTCAGCAAGTTTTTGGACTCAATCTAGTTTTGTCCTTCAGGGCCTCAGGGGAACCCTCACTGTCACCTCCCCATCTTCTTTTGTGCCGCCACAATCGGCTTCCTGGTGTCCTTGCTCTAGAACATGGTGAAGGGCTCTGTAGCTGTCCCATCGGGTGGGCAGAGAGTGAAAGCAACTTGAAGGCTAGTTGCTCCTTTTTCATGATGCTGAACTAGTCACCAGGACAGGCAATGAGCTTGCATGGTGAGGTGTCTTGAGGGGTGCCTCTGAGATGCAAAGTTTTGTGGGGTGGTGCAGTTTACACTTTCTGCTTGCACAGAGAAAAAGTCTAGCCCAGGTTGACGATTAAATAGTTAGCTTTGAAGCTCAGTGACGAATGTCACTTTAATTGAACTATATTTAAAATGAAATATGGTTGTTAAAATTCATAAAGCGATTCATATTCAGTAGGGCACTGTTGATAAAATAGGTCAACCTTGCAGCCTAAATTGTGATAAAACCGAAGTTGCTAATCTCACAATTTTGTAGAAAGCTTGACAATGTTTTGTGTTTTTCCCTCAAGCCCCAGCTCTTGGAGTCATGTGATGACAAAAATGCCAGCTTTCATTTCTTCAAAATGTAAACTTTCAGCTCTTGTATTTCCAGGCAAAATCTGAAACCATGAGCACTACAAGTTCCAAAATTAGAAGGCAAACAAAACGGAGGCCAAATGTTGTTTTTTAAACGGTTCTGATTTTTAGTCAAAATTTTTTTTGGAGAGCCCAGCTCAAGATCTTGGAACACTTCAGGTTGCCAGTAATGTAAAACTAAGATCTCAAAGCAGCAAGAAGCAACAGCGCTGCTTTACAATGTCTCTAACATTTGGGCCACAGTTTTGTTTGACTTTTTAGTTTAATACTGCCAGTACTTGGTTAATAATTTGTATTCGTTTCTGGGTGATGTACTTAGCCCAAGAACTGAGTACTATCTGAAACTTGAGAGCAATTCCTGCCAGGCGGCAGCCATTTGATAACTCTGTGTGTTTTAATAGAGGGATTTCTTTTTCCTTCAGAGCTAGAGGCTTGTCAGCAGATGTTCTAACAGGACACCTTTTCTGTTAGAAAGTTCAGATCCTGACTAAATCCTGATGCAAAGCTAGAAAGGCGCGCCTCCAGCCTGCTCCGCCTGCTGTGCGGGTTGTGACTTCTGCCCAGCGCCTGGCCGGACGGCGCAGGCAGCTCCAGAGCCTGGTGGCACCTGGCAGGCATGCTGGGGGACCCTGCTCCCAGGTGAAAAGCTTACCCATGGCCTTGATGGCCTCAGGTCTTGCAGGCCCTTCGCAGCCTGTGTGGCAGGGAGTGTGGGCACCATGGGCCCCCAGACTTCGCGCCCCTTTGGGTTGCAGGCTTCCTGGCTGTCCTGAATCCCTCAGCTGCCCTGGGTGTCCTCCTGGCTCTAAATAAGGCTTTCCTTTGTGAGTCTGGATCCACATTTCCACCCTCCCCACCCGCTGTCAGCTGGCTGTGTCCCTTTCCCCGTGAGTTTGTTGGTAGATGAAGAGGCCTGGCTGCGCTAGTATGTTCCCAAGTCAGAATATTCCCATTCTCATTAAGTTCTGAGGTTTAAGGTGGTTTTCCAATTTGGAATGTAATAAAATCTTGAACACTTGGAATTTCCTGCAGGATGGTT